TATATGTATATATGTGTATATATATATATATATGTATGTACGTATATATATATATAGTATTTATGTATGTGTGCATGTATATATGTATGTATATATATTTATATATATTATATAGAGAGAGAGAGGAAGAGAGAGTGTGTGTGTGTGTACAAGCAATAATATATAATTTATACATATATTTGTGTGTGTATATGTGTGCATATGTACATACATACAAGTGACAATACAAATACAGATACACAAATTTATATGTGTGTGTTTGTGTGTGTATTTGTGGATTTGGTATTGAGAAATAAACGTATATACTTGTCGTGAAGTATTACGATTATGTTGTATGTGTATACTGTTAGGTATATATGTGTTTGTTTGTGGATTTGGTATTGAGAAACAAACGTATCTATTTGTCGAGAAGTATTACGATTAAGTTTGTATGTGTATAATGTTATGTATGTATGTGTGAGAGAGAGAGAGAGAGTATTTTTAATATTCAGAAGCAAACATATATATTTGTCTAAACGTATTACAGTCAAGCTATATATGATATAAATATATATATATATAACAGTATACATGTGTGCGTGTCTGTGTCTGTGTATGTATGCACGTATGCATGTATGTACATATGAATGTATGGATGGATGTATATATATGTGTGTGTCTGTGTGTTACATATATATATATATATGTATATATATACATATATATATATGTCTCTGTATTTCTGTGTCTCTTGTGTCTGTGTCTGTTTTTTGTTAGTGTTTGTGTTAGTGACTGTGTCTGCACAGACAGACATATAATGTATATATAGATATATGTGCGTGTATGTTGTGTGTGTTTGTTTGCTTGTATGTGTTTGTACATGTCTATATATATATGTGTGTGTGTGTGTGTGCGTGTACGTGTACGTGTGTGGATGCGTTCGCGTATGTGTGTGTGCGTGGATGCGTGCGTGCGTGCGTGTGTATGTATGTATATGTTTATATATATATTGTGATCGGCCCCAGGGCCCGGAGTATCGAACTTTGGAGTAGAATTTGGCTATGTGATATTATCAAAATTATCGTGAACCAAAACATTACATTATCACGTACACAAATATATACTAGGGCCCTAATCCTAACTTAAATTGTTTAACAACTTCATATCATTCTTCAATTAAAAGAATTCTAACGATAACTAGCAATTGATTTCGGATCTCAATATATATGTAGGTCTGTAGGTCGGTCTATCTGTCTGTATGTCTGTATATCTATATAAATATCTATATATATCATATAGAGTGTGTTCGTCTTATAGGTCTTCAAAGTTCATGTTTGTACTCGTTTAATTTGTGGATATATTCGAGAGAAGAAGAAAAATTGTACACTCGAATATGATCTATATCTGTCGGGCATTTCCGTATTTGTATGCACTTAGTTTTTTGTTTTTTTTTTATGAATGAGCATCGTTTTTGTTTGCGTGAATGTTTGATATTATATAGCATTCGGTGTTTATCCATGAAATAATTTTTGTGATGTTTCTCGTAACGTCTCAACACACCCATAGCTTCAATGATGTACTCCTATGTCTAGATTTTTCTGTATGTCTACCAAACACGCAATCACTCGTATATCGTTGTGTTGGGTTCGTATTTCGAGTTCTAAACGTTTGCATATCTACATCGTTCTATTCAAGATGAGAATCGATCATTGGATGTTTTATTTGCTTGATCTGAGGCATTCATATATTTTTTACGTATATGTGCATTTTTGATACCTTTCTCTGTTATTGCGAATGTTGAAATATCTTTATAGAAACCATAAGTGTATTCGTCTGAAACTCATATGCATGGAACAGCGTGTCTTGCCTTGGTATACATTGATTGAACTCCTGGATCCAACCATGTAGTTCTTAGCATGCGCTCGTCCGAGTTAATTTGTGTTCTTCAATAGAAAACATGAAGCGCTGTATTTGCGTCTGCTCTCAAAACCTTTCGCTTAAGCTCATGCCTTGAACAAAGTGCCTGATGATTCAATATTGAAGTCTTACTATATGCACATACCTCCAATATTCGCTGAGTTACACCATGTTCTTTAGGCTGGTGTCTTAATCACGATACCTTTTTTATTTCTTTGTGACTACTGCTTATCTTCGTACATCGATAGCAAATTGTTTTTCGTAGAGCATTCGTCTGAAGAGAGTACCTCGTTGCCGCATAACATCACCAGGTTCTCCTATGTCTTTGTACATGCTTCAGACTCAAATTTCGGCACTAAATTGCACCATGCAGGAACAGTTCTGTCCTGTGAACTGCGAGGTCTATTCGGACGGCTGTTATACATGTGTCTGCGATCGCGACGGATTCAACCCCATCTGCGACACGACGGAATGTGTAGAGACAGGCCAACCGGAATGTCTTTGCGAGTACGCCCACTCGAAATGCGAGCCAGAAGATCGTATATGTGCGGTATATCTTCGCGACGAGAAGGGTTGTGAGACATGTGCGTGCGAATTGTACCTGGATTCAGTGGATACGAGCAAAGGCGATCTGATGACAGTAGAAGGCGTGTGCCCCGACGATTGTGAAATGTACTTTGACGGTTGCAACTTTTGCATATGCGGGGACTTCGCTGGATGTACTTTGAAGAAATGTACGCCTTATGAAACAACAGATCCATTCTGTATCGATGACTACGCAGACAACGAACCTTCGACTCCTTTATACATTACGCCGGACGACAATGACCTTGTGAATTGTCCCATCTATCTATGTACTATATCCTGCTTATACGGATATCAGCAAACGGATAATGGATGCAATGCGTGCGCGTGTAAGCCCAAGCCGGACTGCCCCGAACTAGACTGCCCAGCGTGCGATACGTCTTTAATGGTCGACGACACAGGTTGTAGCACTTGCGATTGTTTCGTTCAAAAGTGTCCCGAGGGTTGTAACCAGTACTCGGACGGATGTAATACTTTCCTATGTTTGGAAGATCAAGGTATGGAGAAGCAAACCAATATCACGTGCGTTCGAGAAGAGTATCACGCCGCCGCGTGTTTGGAAGGCGCGGAAATAGCGATCCCAGAAAATTGTAGACGATGGTTTGATGGGTGCAACCAGTGTATGGTTGATCTTGATGGCACTGTCATAACGTGTTCAACGAGGCAGTGCACCGTGTTGCGAGATGCGCAGTGTGTGATGTACTACCATGACGATGACGAAATATCCACAAATTCAGCTGGAAACCCTCGAGTGGATGGCGATATAGTGGAAATGAACGATAGTGCATTCGTGGGTGTTGGACGTTATCCTTCGGTGGGTAAAGAAGAAGCGATAACTCCCAGCGTCGACGATTGAGACAACAAGTTTGTGAAGTATTTATGAATATAAAACATATGTATGTATGCATGTGTGTATGTATGCATGTATATATATATGTGTGTGTGTGTATATACATATATGTATATATATATATGTGTGTGTGTGTGTGTGTGTATATATATATATATATATACATATACATGTAAGCACATATATATATATATATACATATACATGTAAGCACATATTTATATATTTATATATATGTGCAGTATGTATATCAATCGAAACCCATATCTGGGTTGGTTGCAGCAGGCAATGGTAAGACGAATGAAAGTACCAATTGCGTCAAGCATAGCTTGCCGATGAGGAATCATGGGATGCTCAACCTGTCTTGGTGCGGCTAAAAAAAGTCATATAGAATACCGTCTTGTTGGCTTGATGGACTGTGTGTGAAATATGAACACAGAAACTGCAAGATTTGTAACTCGAAGCTGTATTGTAAGGTAGATTGAGAGCGAGCGACGGATAGACTGAAATCCGAGCTGGCATTATCAATGGCCGACATACCTGTTGTGTTTGACATCCGGAAAGCATTAAATGAGGCAAAAGTACTTAGCTTGATTGTGCGAGTGTTGTATGTCCATTTCATTGTCATGAGACAACAGTACTTAGCTTATTTAGCGAGTGTTGTAGTCCATTTCGTTGTCAACTTTGAATGCACTTTTTAATGCCATTTGCGGTCTTCTGTGATGTTTGCTTTTTTGATGTCATGCATGTGACGAGTGATCGTCACTGCTAGCCCAGCGAACAATACCTAAAACTCTGGATGTATATAAACGTTCGGGGTTTGAGCAATCACAACAATTACTGTTTCAGTCATCGTGCGGATGGATATAGTGTGTTGAAGAAAGGTCAGACAATGATCTCAAGCAAGGTTGGCGACAGGAAACAGTACCAGAAAGCTCATATTCATGAAGCTACGGAATTAAGGCAAGCGGTCGGCGAAACCGGTATCAACGAAGAGTCAATAAGTACAAAGCAACTAGTAAGCGACTTAATTGCAAACGCTGACGATACCAGCGGATCGGCTAAAAAAACTCTATTTTAGAGTAGCTATATAATAGTACATATATTGTGTATGCTTTTGTGTGTTCATCTCAATGTCTGCCAACAACATGAGAAGCTTATCACGATTAGACCACGCTCGATGTACTGGGTGGGATTTTGTGTGAACTGTGTAGACGCTTTCTTGTGACTTGCAATATTTTTGAACCCTCGTGTAGCATCACAAGTTTCTACTGTACATTGCTTATGTTTGTGTGATTCCCTCTGTTTCTTTCTAGGTGGCTCACTGTTTACAGAATCTATCAGATTGCACAACTCATGGCTCTAATTATAAATTCGCTTTGTGGAACTCGGTATCTAGCACTGGAGGTCCTCTACGTAATGGCATTCAGAATAGTGACTCTAGATCCGCTCCTTGAGGCCCAGATTCTGGCTTTTGAGGTTCTTTACTCATGGGCATTGGATTTGAGGCTCCACTCCTATCGCAGACTCATTTGGTTTATTTAACCAGATGACTCGATGAGTTTGGTTGGATCATCTGCAAATGATTGACACTTTTTGACATGATATCAAATGAGGACAAAGTCTTCTGCACAAGACAAACACTTCTCGCTCTCTGCATGTTCTCGAGTCGCCTTAGATATCAGGGATGGCGCTCTATCCTCTCTCACAAGAATGACATTGTTTGCAGTTAGGATTATCTCGTGCCTTGGGACCAATCAATGTCTTTTGTTTAGTATACTCCTTTTTGACGTTCTCAAGTGTCGTTGCATGACGTGCGGCCGAAACATTTCCAACATCAGCTAAGAGACGCATGAGTGCCACATCAGCAGACACTTTGTTCACTGTTTTTACATCTTGCATATACCACTCAAAACTGCTGAGCAGCTTTCTCAATGAGACGCAGACTGTCATTCATATTACAATATCTCTTCTCACAATATCGAGGAACTAGGTTATCTCGTATAGTTGTGTCTAATTCTATACGCACGATTGTAGCGCAGCTATTTGCGCACTATGTTCTGCACGCAGATCTTGGACAGCTGATGTACCCGACACAAATTCTTGGACTACTGATATAAACACATCACATCCCCCTGCCACGAACCTGTGATATCACTGTATGTTTGCGATTTACTTGTTCCGGGAACACTCTCGATTAAAGTAATGTTAGGCTTCTTATATTCCAAATCAAATTTTGCAGTACATAATTAATTTCGCTACTGCATCATGTGATTGTGTCGAAGTATACATAAATTGAATACTGCAATAGAGATGATAACATAACAAAGTAATAAGTAAAAGACAACGTTGAACTTATACCACTTTAGCAGTATCGTCATCTTGATTATCTTTAGATACTTTTGCGAACGCCACTGGACTATTTTTGATACATTTGTGCCTTTCTCCGTTACATCGTCTCAGCATCGCAAAGCTTTGAAGATATCCAGCGGCCCGTGTAATATTTTTCATCGAATTCACCTTGTAAAATGCGCATTTAACACATATCTCACTCGCCGTGCTTCCGTAAATAGCCATAGATTGGCACCGATGTCTTTCAGCTTACGATTAATCTTGGATGCATTCAAAAAATTGTCTACGACAGAGAATGCTGGTGCGATATTGCTGAGCAGAACAACTTTTTCTTAGATGGGTAGCTATTCTCACATGTAGCATTAGTGATTGTTGTGAAGTCATTTGAACACCATCTGCATTCTGGTTATGGGCATACATGACTATATATAAATACCTTTCATGTATTCGACCTCCTTCCTTGTCCCTGTAAATCATGGCGGAATCAAGAAGACTTTGACCACGCTTTCCGTAATACTTGATCATGTCTTCTAAGTACCATTGTGAGAGTATCTTCTGTTTATGATCGATGAGCATCAATAGTTATTTCTCATCTTTCTGCCAGCCCCCGTGAAAGTATAATTCTGGAATTTAAATTTTTATTGATCTATAATCCCTAAACCCGGCAGGATAGATTCAAGCTAAGAATATTTCACGATAACGCCCAATTTAGTGGTACCATTCGGAAGTTGCAGCGGTGTATTCTCATTTAGGAAATCGATGAACTCGATATCGTCGGATTTATTGCGTAGTGCAGGTATGTTAGTAGGAAGAGGTCCAAAAACAGTACCAGTCTCTAATTGCACAGATTCTGCATCGGATAGTAGTATATGTAACTTGCGCTTGAGTGTCTCTCTTACGGAGGTCTCAACCTTCGGGCAAAAGAGTTTCAATTGACACACAATCGGGACATAAAAAGTCATGAACTCCGTGTTTACATTTGGAATTATCCATAGCCCGCTCTGCGCAAAAGTAAAACCCTTCATTACACTTGACAGCGTTGTAATTACAGTGTTTGGCATATTCATTTTGAAAAAGTCTCTAAAGCTTTCACCTCTGGTGTAAAAGTGTTGTACGGTTATGTAAAAAATGTAGTAGAATAGGTGAATAAATGGACCAACCAACTAAGTACTAGGTTGGCTGGCTCAGTCATTCACCTTTGTCTAAATGTACATTAAAAATGTGGAAAACTCACTAAATGTACATTCACTCAATTTACCGATAAAAACGTACTGAAATATTGATCAAATATGTAGAAATGTACATTTTTGTGACAATTCTACCTATCCAATGTACATTTACTGACTTTTCGTGCAAAATTTGCTTAGATTTGAGTTGAAGAGATCTATATGTCAAACCCTTATCATACAAATATCATATATAAATTTGCTTCGATGTAGATGTTAAAGCATTGGACATCTCACGGATCTTCCCCCCGTATTGTTCATTGTTGCGAATTACGTTGTCTGTCGAAGCTCTACAATATTCTTTTGTGATGTCGCAAACGTATGTGTTACCAGAAGCTATCACATTATGCTTTATGGTAGTGCAGTTTTTATACTCACCAAATACAGCCGAGTAAAGGTGACTCTATCCTTCGTTCAGTACAGTCGCCTATGTACAAGGCGACATCTTATTGTAAGTCTGGTGCCTCTCTCGTACGTACTGGCGTGCATAGTGCCGCTTGTTCAGGGGTTGAGAAAGTCTGGCGGCTTGGAATATCAAAGAGAGCGCGATACAGTATGTAGCGTAATAGCGGTGGGCAGTATTCTCTGACACATCAAAGTGAGCACCTGCAATGGCCATATTGTCTCTACAAACAGTGCAAATGTCCATAAAAAGAACAAATTACTCCTAGACAGAGAATCTTTGCGGACGTTCGCGTGATTCACAATTATCCCTTTCCTCATCATCAGTCTCTGTTTCTCCGGAGTTCATTACCGCTTCTACACGTCAAGGCACGTTATGACTCCAGAGCGTCAGGTTTGCAAGCCTACGATTAAAATTGAGATATTCGAATTGTAGCCGTAGTACAGTTGAGTTCGGTTCTCCTGTGTGCTTCCTACAGAATACAGGGTTCTCCATCCGCTTAAAGAAATTTGCACTACATACCCCACTATGATCACCAATTGCTGCAACTTCTGGAACCTTTTGTTCTTCAGCCATATCTTCACGCATGCGATCCCGTTGCTCATAGAAGATCGGTGTGAATATTTTTGCTGCTTCGAGAGGAGTGATCTTTCGTTTATCCCCATGTCCAGGCCGTCCATTGTTTGTACTTAAACTATAGTGTAACCGTGACACAAAACCGGCAGTTTCACGACGTTCGGAAGGACAGCGACGCACAGATGGGGTCTGAATATAATCATTGATTCGAAAGTAAGGTATTGCGTCTAGTAATAGTATAGTATGGGATTGCCTAGTTGCCAAATGATTGAACTTAAAGTGCCTACGGTGAACCATTAATCCCGTATATCCATCTGCCTGATCTATTTGTTTGTTGTGCTCAATAACTTTCTTCGGATCGAACACAAGCCGTTTAACAAAAGGGTATGACCTCTTCTTGTTTAAAGGCAGCTTATGCCCATTCTCAAAACGAATATTCTCTCCGTATTCATCATCACCCAGAGTACATATACACTTGACAATGCCCCCTGTATTGCTCGGCGCTACACGAGTCACGCTATCGAGTTGATAATAGCGATCCCATTGATGTTCGCGGTAAGGCCTTGCTTCGTATGCAGCTGAGATCGTGTAATCGCCCTTAAAATAAAGATCTCCACGACGAAAGTGTTTTGCGTTGACAGACGCATGGTTTTTGTTTCCCTTACCTCCACCTTGGGTAGCAGACGCACTACACCGTCTTCGTCCAACTCTGGTTGCAATTAAAATAGCCAACATCTTGCGCGTGCATCTGCTTCAAGGCAATTCGGTATCTCTATCACTCTATCACCTACTTGTGTACAATCGTGTACACCACACATACATGTTTCCTTGTATTTGGTTTTCTTTTTAGGTACCTCAGACAGTCCCGTAGAGGTATTTTTTTGGCTGTGCATAGTGTACTATAACCCTTATCGCTAGTATCTGATAATTACAGTCAAGTTTAGTATACTTTTGAGAGTACACACACACATTCTAAAAGTAGAACTAAACATATGACAAGAAATTCAGACTAGGTGAATCTTATTATTTCGTTGTAAAACGCTAATACTGCATTGTTTCTCATGAGTAGGAGTATGCGCTTGAGCGAATACTATTGCCTTACAAATCTCAGAGACCGCGTTGGTTGTTAATACAACGTACATACATACCTGCAACCTTCTAAAACTTAGCTATCATCTACGGTCTCTTCAAAATTTTGTGATCAGCTAGTTGGTAGATATGTTCACTGGCTTTCATCTCATTAAAAAATGCCTAGTATGTGAAACTAGAGGTCTATACATAGGTTTCTGGTTTCGAGCTAGCTTTGATCTCGTTAATTTAAGGACATCTCCGGTCCGGGTTATTTGTGACCTATTTCTAAGTACCACCCAGATCATCTATAGTTGTCTCACAGGGCTCAATACATGTGTACGACAGCTATACACAAAATTTAACATTAAGTTTTAGGTCGAAACAATAATTAGCATACATTGAATTAAATATATAAAATGAGAAACTTTCCTACTATAGTGTTGATAATATGGGACGATTATTTTGGTAGCAGCTCAATGAGTACTTCGTTCTGAAGCAGCCATACATTGAGACAATCGGGCGACAAGCAGTTAATAGATGCATTAAAAATGTTAAGAAAAGGGTATTTTGAAGGAGATGATGATCAAATGCACTTCTCGGGAACATATGAAGAAACACATGCTTATAAATCTTCGAAATTCGCAATCAGTGACACTGAAATAACGTTCGTAACATGCTATAACAAGGATCGCGATGCTATCAATGCCAAATATAAGTAAGTTCAAGGATGTGTGTGTAGTAAGAACAATTAAAGCGCACTATTTGGCCACGCCGCAACGTAGAACATAGCGGTCTCACTTCACAGTCGCCTATGACTTTTCTCATTTCTTCGCATACACCACTATCACAAACACATATTTACCAATTTTCGTGCCTATATAGATGGTAGGCGACGACAACGCAAACAGGTTACACTTGCGGACTCATAGAAGTAGGACTAGCGTATAATATCATAGAGTGTCCAGGAGTCAATCATCATGGTTCCCATACTTAACAATGCTTCACCGAACTCATCTGCGAGAGAACGGATGAAGAGGTTCCGAATACACAGTATGATCCAAGAGCTATCTTGGTGTTGCGGAACTCGACTGTGCTTTCTACCTTGTGCACGGGTTTGTATGGAACCGGTTTAGCACCGCGGATGAGAGGAGGTTTGAGCGGTTCACAGTGGTTTAGAATTGAATTGAAATCCCATTCAAAGTCGCCAACAGTCGCCAGGTAAAGATCAGCATCCCAGTGACAGTGTTTGTCGCCTAGAAGGGTAAGTTGTGCACACTTTATGCGAGTGGAGCCTGTTGCTGAGTCGTCTGATATATCCCATAACCTAACCAAGTCTTCATCTTTATACTCTGAAGGATTAACTTTTATTTGTGTTTGTGTTGTTGACATATACTAAAAGTTGAAACCATACTATGTGCAAAGTTCTCATCTTGTTTGGTATCGAAGGAAAATGTGAAGATGACGAACAATAAGTAACTGATTTCTTATATACTTAGGCCAAGTCTAAACAATTGAATGTTTGAAGTAAATGCATTTAAGGTCGTGAGCCAATGGGGTAGCCGAATTAATTTGTCCAATTTTGGATTTTTTAAAAAAAGTTTAGCTGGTAGCCTTCTAAATTGAACAGGTATGTAGGAGACAAAATTCGTCTCCTGCTACAAAAATCGTCTCCTGCTGATTAAAGTAAGTGTAAGGTCACAATAGTTCTCCATGAAAGGGGGGGGGGGGGGGCGGACATCATTAACGATACTGGCAACGAACGGTTGGACAATGACCAAATGATAGCAATATCAACATCCGTTCATCATTAGCGCACACAGGTACCTACTTTCACTAACGGGTGGTTGAGTCAGATGATACCTCACAACAGCCGCGGCTCAGCGACCTGGCCACGTTTCCAAAGGCGGCGGCTATACCCTTTATGTGTGCTGCACAAACAGTCCGTCCAGCGCCCACATGCACAAGCATTAGAATACCAGGATCACATTTCTGCCACCGTATTGACTGGCCGTGTCGAGGGCGATCGCAAGTTGACTGTTGATGTGGAAATATTAAAACCACTGCACACATTGCCTCTTTCTGATCGCCAGTTCGAAGATGCTCCTCTGTCAACCGACCAAACTGCAGTCCCCAGACTCAACAGGTTTTGGATCGAGTTCTGGCCTTTGAGACACTGCTGATTACCAACCAGGTAACGGCTCAAACCTCACCAACTACTACCCCGACGTATGCTATTCGGGATAACTTTTCATTGACAGTATGATACGTGCACCCGACCGTAATCGTATTCGATCGGAATCCCCGGCACCAGATATGTCACGCCTTCCGGAACGACCTCGCGATGCAGGCATCACTATCGGTAGTTTTTCTTACCTTTACCCCATGATACATTTCTCCAAGAAGTTGAAGCATATCAAACTCAATTACAGTGAGACTTCGCGCGAGATGCTGGCCATTCGTTTAGTCAACATCCTTTTGCCATAGGTTCATCCAACATACGGCTATTCTCTCGGACCACAAGCCGTTGGAAAACGTTGTCACCAACCCAGCCCCTTACTTGCACTCTCGTTCTGTCAAGCACCAACGATGGATGCGCAGTATTGAGATATTAATGAAGCTCGTATTGATATGTGCTATATGCCAGGACCACTACCGATTTTCGGTGATTGTCTGGATATCACAGATAAAATGTTGTGGATACTTCAGTCTCTTTTCCGATGCAAGCACAACTTCATATTCAGAAGGACACGGTGCCCTTTGTAGGTGTCGCTATAACACCTGGACCTACACGGATGCCTGCGGCACAATTTACAGATTGGGTAGTGCCAGATGATACGTCAGACGTCAACAGCTGGTCTATGAATTTCCACTGGGCGGATCCCATCTAGCAGCCGTGAAGACCTTTGGTATTGAACTTTTCGCTAGCCATGAAGACCCTTTGCTAGTGACATACTATACGAAAGACGGCACGAGAGCATACGGCCAAGATGCATGAAACATAAACATTCTCTTCAATCATTGCTACATGAACTCTCCTTGGAGAGACATTGACCCGTTCTTGCATACATGACTACTCGATTTACCCAATACGTCTGTGGTGGTGGTGGTGGTGGTATGTGTTCCTTTCAGATCTAATGCGCCATGGTTCACTAAGCTAATTACACTTATACAGTACACCCTTCTCGTTACCCCCCACACAGCAGACACCTTTTTGCACCGCGAGTGGCGCTCGGTTGTACCCCGAGCTAGTAATACATTATTTCAACCTATCATGCCGGTACAACTACTTCTGAACTCGTTGAGCCGCCAACTCCAACCCAGACACTTATGCAAGCTGAGACCGATGCTGACAAAAGCACATCACATGGGTTAGTTCAGAGGTGCCCACAAATGCGCTACTCCTGGAACGCACCATGTATACAGCTTTATCGCCTCAATCAGACACCGCTCAATCCGGTGGAGTTACAGCGGCATGTGTTCCGTCCTAACTGGATGCAGGCACAAGATATGACCGACGAGAATGATGACCCTACGTTCGTACACCACACAGACCAGCGTAGCACAACATACTCCGGTTTCACAGCATCAGCTAACGATGTCGGAAATCGACCGCCAGCTGGGCTTTGCCATCGCTGACTACACGGTAGTTGGAACTATTCGGTGAGGGTTTCGACTCGACAGCCACTCTCCTTCCGTTCCAAGACACTGGATACAGTGGACCATGTGATCAAGGACATTCTTCATGACGGTCTGATGGACGATTCCTTTGTGCTACTAGAGGAAGACACGCCAGGTGTCCAAGCACGAGTATGAGTAGATATGCACAAGGCACCTCCCACTTTTTTCAGTTACTCAGTTTCTGGCGATCCTTCCTCGGAAGTTGGGCTACACAACCAACGCAAAGATTTGGATGGTTCTCACTCACATTTTAGATTGAGCACTGAACCGGCAGTGCTTGCGGAGATCGAGACATTGAACCTCCAATGTATAGACTAACCCGTCGGTCGAGAGACAATGATCCTCCGTATCTTTTGTATCTGACATGATGACTTTGTATAGCCGCCTGTTCCTACTGTAGCGCCTCCATGCACCTGTAATATAGCGAGTTCCTAAAGTAGAAGCACATGATAAACGTATTTTATAACCGTATGAACGTTTAAACGCTCAATGATTGTAAAACTGGAATACATTAAAACGTAATTATAGGTATTTGTGAAATTGCAAAATAATCTAATAATCTAGATTTGGATATTGAGAAATGCAAACAAACAAATTATAAGTTTTAAATATTTGATTGTACAGTTATATATAATAGAGAGTGGAAACTCTATTGTATATCATACTGGTGGTTTTTGCTATAATGATACGTTTTCCATCAAAATAATTGGAGAGTCTCAGGTGAAATTGACGCCTGATGACGCATGTTACATTTCTGAATACTCTCATCGCAATATAATCCACTGAGAAGTAGGACTTGATATTGAATCCTCCTAGCCAGCCTACTAGGTGTGTCCATCTATGCCTTCAATAGGATGGAGAGGTAGATACCAAGTGAAGGGGTATAATTGCAGACATTTAACTGCACCAACTTGGTATTTTTGATTTCATTTATTTTTCAAAAGTTGAACTTATTGATTTTTTCTATCAATTGCGATTGGAGGATT